TAGTTTGGCTATATCCCCAGGGGAGTCCTTGCCCTGGAGGAGATGGGAATGGGAGGGTGGGCTGGGAAGAGGTGGGGAGCAGGAGGAGGGATGACAAAGGAATCCATGGCTGATATGTAAAATTAAACTAAATTATAAAATTAAAAAAAAAAAGAAAATGTTAGAAGACAAAATCACCTGCGTATTTCCCAGTCCATTTTAGAGAAGAATGAATCAAAACAAAATACATAACTTGAATCAAAAAGTGAAACCAATGTCATATGTAGTTGAAACATTATGATTCAGTAAAGACTGAATCAGTAAAGAGGGTTTGATGTAATTACAAATCTTTTTTCACCAGTTGGAGTGCAAGTCTCATATGGGGAGAACCTTCAGCTCCAGGCTTCCTGGAAGTTATGAAAATGGTTAGAACAGAATAATAAACATTAGATGATTCTTCTTTATAATTCAGTACACTTCTTCCAGAAAGAAGAGAGCCTTTAGTTAATATTCAGTTTAATTTTTTAAGCTACATCAATGGCAAATTTATTCTTATGAAATTACTAAATTTAGTATATAAGAGAATATCAGTCCACAAAATAAGAAACAACCTTAATATTCAATAACATAACTAGTTATTTATATTGTTCCTTCAGATATAATTTTAAAGAAATTGAGAAAGTGTAAAAAATCAACTAAGATAACATTATCAAAGAATTTGTACTTTTTTTAGAATAGAGAAATAGAGATGAGTACTTCATTTTCAAACAGCTTGATTTACAAATTTAAAAATGTATTTTTAAAAATTGTATTATTGTACTTTTAATATAAAGATTTTTGCACAAATACTGACTTGCTTTGTATTTTTCCTTCTGTGTGAAGGTAAATTGACTAAGCAGTTTGAATTTGAGGGTTTGTAAATTAAAACAATAAGGTAGGCAGTGTTATGGATTATTCTCTTAAGAATATTGCAGAAGCTTCATGAACACTTCTCATGATATCTAAGATTTTTCACTTAATCATTTTGTTTTATAATTCATCAATAGATGTTCAGGCACATAAGAAAGTATTTCAAAGAGAATTATGTGCTGAGTTGGTATAAATTATGCCACATGTGGAGAGATATTTATACAGTTCTGTGAAGAATTATTCTGGTTATGCTTGGTGAAAAAATAATGCAGAAAAAAATCATACAATGTCCTCCTCTAGGGTATAACTAAGGACACAATTAGAGTGATGTTTCCTCATATTTGTGAGCTAGTGTGTAACTGTTATGTCTTAATCTTTAGGCAAATGAACGAAGAAGCAAAAACTTTTTTTTAAAACCAGGAACGTTTTACCTAGCAAAATATGTGATTTGTATTTATAATTCTTGGACTTCAAAATATTCTAAGGGCAAAGAGCCTACAAATTATGGTCACGGATCTCGGCATACAGATCCCTCAGTAGTTGGATGAGGTTTCTAGCACAACAATTAGGGTGTTTGGCCATCCCATCACCAGAGTACGTCAGTTCGGGCTGTCTCTCGACCATTGCTGGCAGTCTGTTGTGTGGATATCTTTGTGGATTTCTGTGGGCCTCTCTAGCACTTTGCTTCTTCCTATTCTCATGTGGTCTTCATTTACCATGGTCTCCTATTCCTTGTTCTCCCTCTCTGTTGTTGATCCAGCTGGGATCTCCCGCTCCCCCAAGCTCTCTTTCCCTCGACCCTCGCCTTTCATTACCCCCACTCATGTCCAGGCTGTTCATGTAGATCTCATTCCATTTCTCTGTCATTGGGCGATCCCTGTGTCTTTCTTGGGGTCCTGTTTTCCAGGTAGCCTCCCTGGTGATGTGAGTAGCAGACAAGTCATCCTTGTTTCATGTCTAGTATCCTGCTATGAGTGAGTACATACCATGTTTGTCTTTCTGAGTCTGGGTTACCTCACTCAGGTGGATCTCTGGGAGTCCAATTAGCGAGAATGAGGAGGGTTTATATGAGCGAGAATTGTTGAGACCAAGGTTGGATAAAGCACAGGGACAAATAGCCAAATGAATGGAAACACATGAACTATGAACCAATGGCTGAGGGGTCCCCACTGGATCAGGCCCTCTGAATGGGTGAGACAGTTGATTGGCTTGATCTGTTTGGGAGGCATCCAGGCAGTGGGACCAGATCTTGTGCTCATTGCATGAGTTGGCTGTTTGAAACCTGGGGCCTATGCAGGATTGTTTGGCTCGGCCTGGGAGGAGGGGACTGGACCTACCTGGACTGAGTCTACCAGGTTGACCTCAGTCTGTGGGGAAGGCTTTGCCCTGGAGGAGATGGGAATGGGGGGGGGTTGGGGGGAAGGTGAGGGGGACGGGATGGGGGAGAACAAGGGAATCCGTGGCTGATATGTAGTACTGAATGGTATTGCAAAATAAATTAAAATAAAAAAAAAAATTATGGTCACAATGGCATAATATAATGATATTTATCTCTTTGCCTTAAATGAAGACAACTGATTGCAAATATCATTAATGTTTGGCAAAAGTGCAGACTTGCATAGATATTAATATTTTTATCATAAAATATGACAATCAACATAATTTACCTAGTACTGTTAGCAGGAAAACAAGAAATAAAATAGGTTAACGCCTAGCACTAATTTGTTCACTGAATATATTCATTGAAAACAACTACAGTATAAAAAAATCAATTCAGTAATCAATTGTCAAGAACATAAAGAAGAAATTGATAAAGTGCCTAAAATTAGTCACAGCCTCTTTTATGTTAAGGAAAATGCCAAAATAGCATTGGAGTTGAGTTGACGATTGACAATGAGGAGAAAGGTTTTGGGGGAAGCAGTGGGAATACTCCTACAGAAGAAACTGGTAAGTTATATGTTCTGTGAGTCACTCTTGAGGTTTGATTGGCAGTACCAATAATTTGATGTGGATAGATGACAATTATGGCCCCAGTTTGGGAAATTACATGCTTCAAGACAGTTAACTAGCTATAAAGGTCTACTCTATTAAAAGTCTTCCTGTGCTTTTAAATCTTTGGTATGAAGTGAGATGTTTTTAAAGAATATTTTAATATTACCTATGCACATACTTCATAATATCAGTTCTAGTAAAAATATATACTTTTAAATTGAAGGTTAAGGTCTTTTTTGTTATCAGTAAATTCTAGGTTTTTGTCTTTAAACTTTAGTGGAAAGGAAGATGTTTGTGAGATACTATTTGTAATTAATCACATTTCTAAATTAAGCTAAAGGATATAGCAATGGGAAGCATACTTTCCAATACTATATAACACTTATTGTTCTATAAAAATAAAAATAAAAAGTGACTAATTAATTAATTAATTGTAGAAATTTATTTCTAAATTCTAGGCAGCATAATACACTCTATTTGTTGTGCTCATTATTAATTTTTGTTTTAGAATACAAATCCAACTACTTCCTCACATCAGGGATTTGGACATCTTAAACTACATCTTTCTCATGATTTCTGGTTTCATGAGCAATAAAACTACCTCTCACAATTTAAAAGTAATCTCTCATATAATACCAACCTATTTAAAGAACATATTATGAAGGATATTGATGAACTGAAATAAGGAAATGACATGGGGATTTAAATTTGATAATTTCCTAAAGTTATAAGCTAATGAGTATAACAAAATTCAGACAGAGTTAAGATGTGAGGTAGCTTACTTGTCATCATGTGTAGTAGATTTTATGACAATGATACACAGGAATTTTGTTTAGAAGAAAAAAAAACAACAGAACTCAGTGTTAATGATTTTGATACCAGGATTTTAACACTAACAATTCCAAACTGTATTAGAGTAGAAGAGGAAGAGTGTGCTGTTACTTGCCATTTTTGATATACTATCTAAATGTCTTCAGAAACATGTTTTGAAGACATAAAAATAGGTGTAGTATTCAGGAGAGAAGAATACTTTTTAAATAATAGTTATACTTATTAGCAATAAATAGTGAAAACAGCAACAAAAGAAGTACAGTGAAGAGCAGTGCAGTCTGCAACAAATTGCCTTTGGAGTTCAGACTCTGCTGCTTTCAGGCACTATCACTTAACGCAAAGTGAGACACTTCATCTTTGTATGTCTCTATTCTATCATCTTTAGATGGAGGTAAGTGGTATTTGTCACATAAGATTGAACCCTGACATATAAATAAGCTGAAAAGGAAGATTATATAGATGACAGAATTTTCAGTTGTATTAATGCTTTCCAAAGCAGGAAAAAAGATAGAAAATGTATTGATTAAATGGTACAGCAGGTTAAACGGTTAAAAAACAGAAATAAAAAATACATCTGAAAGGAAAAGTCCTCAAAGTTATGATATAATAAACTTCTGATTCCATGTGTTAGCAAAGATATATTCCTAAAATTATTTTGGTAGAAGTTTGAGGTTGGGAGAAAAAAAACCTACAAATTAAACTAAATCAAGATAATCTAGTTCAAATAACATAATAAGATTTTAGTCTACATTATTTTATACTTTGTGTTATAAAAATTGGAGTGTCATATCAGTGAGATGGAAGGATAAACCAAGTTTATTTACTAATAATAAGCAAGCTTTTGAATATGCACACCCTGTTCTGACTGTGGTGCATTATACTCATTACGGTGAATAGGTTCACTTTTCAAATGGTATCTGTATTGTTAAGAAGAACATTGGAGTCACAAATAAAAATTATATTTTCTTAAGGTCATAGTAATAAATAAACACCAGAAACCAGTAAAGGACAAAACTCTGATGTGGTCTACATTTTGAAATTTATGTTAAAATGAAACAATTACTGTGATAAGTGGAAATATGGGCAGTAGAAGAAACAAAGAAATTAACAAGGAAAAGGACTAAGGACCAGATGAGAAAATGAAATCAAACAATCAAGGAAAAACAGAAAAAAAGACAGAATGTCTGCAGTATCAAGTATCCATGGGTAAAGATTAGGATTTGATCTACCTTTGTCCTGAGTTCCAGAACCCAGAAGAGACAGGAAAATATCTTAAGGAGCTCAACACGATGAATGGAAACTGCAACCACTGTGTGAAAGTAACAACAGATTCAGGAAAAAGGATGAAGACTGTAAGAATGAATATGAACAGTTAAGCAACATTGTGAGATTTAACTGAGGGCAAAACTGCATGTCATAAAGGGTGACAGTTCAAATGGCCGTCACCCATCATGAGCCAGGGATATTGGGATGAACTGAATTAATATTTTCAAAATGCTGAGGTTCATACAGTGTAGGAAAGGTTACCAATACAAAATTTTGTGCTTTAAAGTTACTCCAGTTCTCCAAGTTATCAAGTACTTTAAAGCTCCAAAACCCTTTTAACAATCCTTTGACCAATAAGAAATATAAAGCATAAGTAAATTTTAATTTTAAGTCAGTTATTTTTGATTAAACCATTTGTGCAAGATAATGGTAGTAGGTATGGGCATAACTTTTTAATATTTTTCTTAAAATACTTTATTTTTATATTATAATATAGTTACACATTTTCCTTTTCCCATTCCTCTATCCATACCCTCTCATGGAACCCTCTTCTTTTTTCAAATTCATAATCTCCTTTTTCTTTAATTGTGGCTATATAGAGCTTATTAAATATATATTATTAAATATATATATTCACACCTACGTTTTATATATATATATATATATATGTATATGAGAGGTTTGCATAAATACAGCATGTTCAGGCAACATATTATTACTTCTATGTATGTTTCATATGTTTCAGGGCTGACCGTTTGGTATTAGATAACCAGTTCCTGTTCCTTTTCCATAGGGAAGACTATGTCTCCCACCCTCAGCTTTCGTGTCTCTATTTCTTTGTTCAGGGTTAATACCTGAAGAGCTTTCCCCATTTGTATTAGCATGACTACTTGTGTCATACTCTTTTAAGATCATATTTAGGTAGATAGATACCTACATTAGAATTTTTTGGGTGTAGCTTCTGATATTTCTAGGAGGAGACCCCATCTTTTTGTAGTGGTTGATGCAGTTTGCTGTACTTTAATATGTCCCTCGTAATGGAGTTTTATCTAGAGCACCAACATTCCAATCAAGGAAAATATTTTTAAAGAAATCAAGTATCTATTTGTTGTGAAAGACTGACATGAAATAGAAGATTACTTTCATGGAAATTTCCTTATCATTTTCAAGAAACTTATTTACACAAAAATAAAAACTTGGAACAGAAGGACTGGGAAATGGCCCAGTCAGTAAAGTGATTTCCTCACAAGCATGAGGATATGAATTTGGGTTCTGAGCACCCACAAACAAAGCCAGGCACAGTAGTTCATGCCTGTTATCTTAACAATTGGTGAAACAGAGACAGAAGTAACCTTCAGGCCTTTAGGCTTCAAGGTTCAGTGTGAGAACTGAACTCTTTTCTCTAAAAATAAATTTGAGAGACACTCAGGGAGGCACATGAGAATGATCTTTAGCCTCCATGTACATATATATATGTATATATATATATGTATATATACATATATTCATATATATATAGGCATATACAGATAGGCACACAACCTTGCTTGTACACCTGCACATCATGCACCTACACCTACATCTACACACACACACACACACACACACACACACACACACACACACACACGAATGAATGTATATATATATATATATATATATAAATAAATTTAAGCAGAAATTATAACATGAGCTATAGTGATAAAATATTGCTACCAAAAACCAACATGATTTACAAAATCAAGTTTAAGTATAATTTCAAATGGTAAAAGCCTCATATTTTTTCATGAAAATGCCTTGCCTTTGTTCTATTGTGTGAGGTATAATTAAAAATACCTGGTTACAATTAAGCTGAAATTAGCTATTATAATAACTGGAGTTGTGTCATACTTAATTTAATAAACATGGTTCATAACCTTCTCTTCATATTAGGTACACAACGCCATTATGTGCTACCATGCAGAATGCATTATTTCAAAATATTCAATTACTTATTTTTTTATTGTGTACCTGTTGCTTAACAGAGAAAATTAGTTTTAATATCGGAATATATATGTCAGAGAGACATCCCATAAAAGCACCACGAGAACTTAGAGAAATGGAAGGAAACTTCGAAAACTTTCCTCAAGTTTACAGTTAGATTTTACTCTCTACTGTATAAATAGCAGCCTTCTCCTTGCTCTACAAAGCTGTCACATCTCATAAACTTGGCTGAGTGAACTGAGTGGATGGGAAATCTCCAAGGGAACACCACTGACTGCTGTAAGCGGGATCAGTGATTCAGGGAAGTTCACTCATAAATACTTTTCCAAAGTTCCAGCTTGGTGTTGGGAGATTTTAGGATACGAAAAATGCTATTAAGTTAGTTCCTGTCTCTATTTTAGTACTCACAGCTGTTCTGAGCTATTTCTCAGCATACCCATAAAAAATAATAGTTTTCTGGCCAAAGTCCAGTCCAAAGAAAAATCATGACCACTCTAAATCCTCCCTGCATTCAAACATGGATAGAAAGATTTTTAGTCTCTTTCTACTAATACTTGCCAGTAAGTCAACTACTTCTCTGACACTGGAGCAGACAAGCAGGAGTGTTTAACCACGCAGAAATAGTGCACTCACAAAATCCCTGAAGGATTTGGACTAAATACAACATCTGATTCTGAGTGAAAATGGAAAAGGGGAAAAGAAAAGATTATAGAATTTGTGTTGGTGTTTCTCTTCTATACCTGTGCAGGTGCAAAGCTCTAGGAAGCCAAGAGGAGCAGCAGCATTTAGATGGTGGGTGTTAATTCAAGAAAATACATGGTAATGAGAGCATTTACAGTCTGAGTTCACAAACTCCACTGAGATCAGGGTAGGCAGCTCACTCAGAACTGGAAATAACGCCAGGTGTAAGCAAATATCTGTTTGTGGAACCAAAGAGCTTACCCAGTTTAACATAGTTAGGTGTAGTCATATTCGTGACATTTTTTTAAACATTTTCAGACCTAACAGAACATGCCTGCAGCTGATTCTGGCTCATAAGCCACCCATTTAGAAATTGCATCCATTTTCTCTTTTTTCATTTCTTCGCTATGCTCTATTTTTTATGCCACTATTCTTCTTTATGAGTTCTTTAAAAGATCACAATGTTTCATGTTTTAAACTCCATGTGTCTCATTTGAGGTTCATTCTTATCTTCACAAAGAGCCTGGGCAGTTTAATGCAACCTAGTGACATTCTGTGCTATTTTGTTACCTGCTCGACTTCAAAGCTACAGTGACAAAGTATTACAGCCTCTCAGTGGAAATCCATTTTGCATGTAGCAAGCTTAACCATAGGTTTTTGACACTGGCTCCAGCCTCTTTGTTGGAGGAGAGCAGTTCATATTAGCACTGTTAAATTTGCTAGTTACCCATAATATCCTCTTATATGTAAGGAAATGTACCCAAATGAACTCTGGGATTCCTCCTAACTTCTGCCTAAAGAACATACAGTCACCCTTTCACTAGTTAGCGTGGACATTTTTTATAGAATAGAAAAGCTTCTACACCTGAATTCCTCAAGGGCTCTTTGCTAGTCTTCAGAAGTAAAGTAATACAAATGTTTGGATTGAAGAGCTTCAGGAAGAGGTAGTATGTGTATTATCTGGACCACTGAAAGATATTTGCAGACCTTTAGACTAGAGACTTATTTCTTTGTATATAAATGGAAAAAGCTCACAGAATATATGTTTTCTATTATTAAAATCACAACAAAGAAATTTCTACACACACACACACACACACACACACACACACACATGCACACCTGAGAATTATTTCCATATTCTGAGTAAGGGAACAAGACAAAATTGAAATTTGTAAATTTTGAAGAATGATGATATCATAAAAGGTACAATTTAAATTTCAGTTTGTAGGTGATTCCAGTTTTATGCATCTAATAAATAGCAGGTCTAAAAACTGAGTATCAAAATGGTGAAATTATAAACTATGTAAATTTATCTATTCATGTCAAATAATAGATTCTCGTTATTTAAATAGTTAACTAATGAGGAGGCAGATATAATTCAGTAGGTAAATTCTTTCCTTGAAAGCATGAACAGTTTAGTTCAATTATCAGAACCCATTAAAAATGTATGAGGTTGTGGTGCATGCTTTAATCAAACCATTGGGGACCTATCTGCTATACTTTTGGGTTCCATATCAATGAGAACAAATCTCTCTCTCTCTCTCTCTCTCTCTCTCTCTCTCTCTCTCTCTCTCTCTCTCTCTCTCTTTGTGTGTGAGTGTGTGTCTGACCCTCTTCTCTCTCTGTCTCTGTCTCTCTGTTTCTCTGTCTCTATCTCTGTCTTTCTTTCTCTCTCTCTCTCTCTCTCTCTCTCTCTCTCTCTCACACACACACACACACACACACACACACATATACACACACACGCACACACACACGCACACACACCCTCTCAATGGAGAGAGATGAGAGAGACACATACAGTGATGGAGAGAGACAGTGAAAGACAGAGAAGCCATGTGAGACAGAGTCAGAGGATTATAATATATTTAATATATTCATAAATTTTCAGTAGAAATATACACCTAATTCATGTTTTGAGTTTTAAGTTTTCTTGAGTAGACAAAAACATGAAAATGAAAAGTAAAACACTATCTTAATAAATATCATTTTTGAAAAATGTATCTATGATAAAAATGAATGAACATCCCATGTCTGCATGTCTGTAGTAATGTAAGATGTTTGGGAGAAATATCCATTTAATTGATTTGGATTACCAACACTATTTGATTCATATGAATATAAGCCTTAAAGAAGGTTTCATTTACTTTTTGCTTATTTTTAACTTTAAGAATATTTCCACATTTATCACTGTTTGTTTCTGAGGCCCAAATTTACTTGTGAGTTAATTTTTTAAACTTTTGTGTAATAACTAGCATGTATTAATCTTCAGAATTTTAAGTTTCATGTAAGGGGAGCCGACTCTTGTTGACAAAGGATAAAAAGCCACTGTGGGAAGACATAGTGCTGAGAACATTGCTTAGAAGAATGGAGAACCAGCTTTAGTGATCAAAGTCAGATCAGCCCCAAACAAGACTGTGAGTGGTACAGAGAAAATGACTTCATGCTGTCCCTCAGCACCAGCTGTTACAGCATCAGCAGTGACCTTTGACCTTGTCTTGCCACAACACCAGCACACCTGTCATGCAGGCGAATCAGATGTCACAATGCAGCTGTTGTCACCTGCTGTGGAGTGATTTTGCAGGGCTGGAGATTTTATGCTAATCCTTTCTTTATTAAGTTGGTAAAAAGAAAAGCTGGAAATCTTTACTTTTATGTTTTAAAGGGAACCTCGAACACAGAGTGCCAAGAATTTCATCTTAGAATTGTTTCCGTCGTGTTCCCCACCCAGTACAATTTAATGCAGGCTACTTTGCTTGTTTTTAACCTTAAGAATATTTCCACATTTATCACTGTTTTGTTTCTGAGGCCCAAGTCCTTCGGAAGTATATGATCTAGTTTTCAAATGTATAAGATTCAATAGCTATCTATCATTGTGTTGTTGCCATTTTAGATTAAATCACTTTGCTAGATGGGACTATACTTCATAACTTTTTACTTGAAATATTACATTTTGCAGAATAAATATTTTCTATTGTAATTATTAGAGCAGGAAAAGCTGTTGTGAGAAGGGAAACTGGGACACAATCTACTAATCTACTAGATAAAATGGTAGCTCTTGAAATATACAAGTGTAGACAGTTCTAAAATTATTAAAAATACTGCAAAGCAAATAGACAAACCCAACAATAATAAGGTGCATGAAAAAAGAATTCTATTTTCTTTTGATGGTTTGAATTAGATGGCCCCCTTAGACTCATATATTTAAAGGCTTGGTCCCTAGACAATGGAAGTGTTTGGAAAAGATTAGGAATTTAAGGTGCAAGATATTGTTGGAGGAATTATGCCAGGGGAGGTAGGCTTTGAGGTTTCAAATATCCAAGTAAACCTCGGTTACCTTTTTCTCTTTCTTGATTCTTGATTGTTGATGAAATGTAAACTGTCAGCTACGATTATAAAGCCATTTCTGCCTGCCTGCCTGCCTGCCAAAGGCTTCCGGCCATGATGGTCATGGACTGACCCCCAGAAACTATAAAAAAACATTAAATGCTCTCTTCTGTAAATTTTCTTGATCACAGTGCTTTGCCACAGCAGTTGTAAAGTAACCAAGACACATGCCAGTGTTGAATATATGTTGAAACCCTCACCTCTTACATGCCTACATAAAAAATGGAACCAATGGGCAGATATGCAAGGTTTAAATAGAAATTGTGAGTGATGGAAATTAAGTATTTTGTAAAAAATGAAAAAAAACCCGTGCTGTGAGATCATGATTGCTCATTTCATAATTCAAATAATTAGTTATAGGCAAGCTACCCTTAAGAACTCCTCATTCTCTATCAAAGAAGCAAAGTAAAATATTCCTCCACCATCAAGACACTAGCCCTTTCCCTTTGGGGGCATCTCACATATTTTGAACCTAATTTATCTGATGTACTCAAAGTTTACTTACTTTGAATCATTCATTCATGACAATAGAAATTTCTGTCATAATATCCTAATAAGAATCCAATGTTAAAATCTCCACAAATACTGCTTGTATATGTATAGCTATTTTAAAAGGAACTTCAGTTATGGATGTGTTGACTTCCATTCAAAATGCATCCTTATTATGTGCATTATGAAAGTGAACATTTGCCTGTTCTTATTATTTTGTGCTATGTAAAGCTTAGTTGGTTAGGAACTCCAACAAGATATTTGTAGGAAGAAACTTTCCTTCACTTGGCAGACTTCCATATCACCTGTGTCCTTTTCTCCAGCCCATGCCTCATGGAGTGAGCATGGCATCTGTAGTATCTAGATTCAGTTGTGTCCATTGTTCCAGAATCCCCCTTTGGGTAATTAAGAATGAGAATTATGTCAGCCTTTTTCAGTACTCTAGAAATCGATTTTTATGTTTTTTTTTTTTTCTTTAGAGTATCACTACAGCACCAGAGTGATTAGCTTCTCTGCCATCTAGTTGGCAACAGTTTTGATCTCCCTTTTATTATCTAAATACCAGGTATCAGTAATGAGATCCTCTACAGAGTAATTACTTCAGTTTTATTAAGGATGATATTCTTTATATCTGCAACGTTACATTCTTTGGATCTTCATTAGCCTAAACTTTCCAATTTCTCATTAACCCAGTATTTTATTACACTCAATACTACTGAGTGTAACAATTTTCTTTTCTAAACTAAATAAATAATCTTCTTTTCTAAAACTGATTTTTTTTTTCCTTGTTCAACTTAATAGGTGTCTCACCCCTGTCAGTCATCGTGAGAGGATATAACAAAATCCCCTAGCTTGGAGCAATCAAATGACAGAACTTTCTCACTCTCCTGAGGGCTAGACCAGTCTAGAGATGAAGTGGAACTAAGGGTTGAGTTCACTAAGCTAGCATGATTCTTTCTGCCCTCAGTTTCCTCACACTGTGTAGACGTGAGTCCAGTGACATTTCCTCCCCTTCCAGGGGTGAGACTTCCACACTTACGACTCTTTAAACCTTTGCCATCTCCTCAGTGACCCCATCTTGTGAACTATAATATAGAAGATGAGGGCTTCAGATTTTGAATAATTGGGCCTATGAAGACAATTTCTTTTAGCACCAATTGCCTTTATCCCCTGTTTCCCTTGAGTAGTATTTGAGGTAATTTTTTTTAGAAGTTTCTACATTTGCATATTTCAGGAACTATAATTTTATCTGGTCAATCAATGGATTGTGTCATACCTTTAAGTATTTTAGAGAAATTCAATGTTCCTAGGTGTTTTCCCATAGGAATATTTTTCAAACTAATTTTAAAATAAAATTTCCCAAAATTAATCTTGATGGCTTTTACCTACTATTAAGCCACACACCAAGTTGAATGTCCCTTTAACTACATCACAGAGCTGTAGCGTAGACTGCCAAAGTAGTTTCAAATCCCCTGCTTGAGTGTGTAGTTTTATTTAGGAATCCCCAGGAGAAGATCATTAGTAGTTAACATGACTCATTCTTTGGGAGAATTTATTGCAGTTCAAGCAATCAGCCTGCCCTTTTCAGTTCCCATTTATGGGTCTAGACTTAAATCTGGGACTCTGATCTTGGCAAAAACCTTTCTGTTGTCTCCTGTGCTTTGTGCAAATAGCTCATTAAAGTCTCCACTCCAGAACATCAGGGAGAAGCAAGTATTCTCAAAGGGTCGAGGAGTGGTACTGCTTTCTAATTCTTCCAGATTAACACTTTTTTTTGAAGGCTTCTACCTTTAGGAATTCCTTTCATTTCCTATCCACCCATGCATACATTAAAATGTACCTTTTAAAATGTTTTATTCCTTATTTAAGATGTGTTCTTCCAGCCTTAATTCAAACAGACTTAATTAGTGCCTTATTCACATTTTATTTATTCTGGACTTTGAAATTTATTTGGGTACTCTTTCTTTTTTCACACCTTAGCCTCAAAATTCTTAATATTTTATCTTTCTTTTAAAGTACAAACATAAGTTGTGGAAACCTAATTTAATTTATACCTCATGTTTGGTTTAAAAAAATAGTTACTTGAACCAATATACATATATTCAGCTGCTAGATAAAAAACCACTTAGGCATTTAATTATACATTGTTCGTATTTGTAGCCTCGGGGGATCAATGACATGCTGTAAGTACTTATTGAACAAAACAGAATTTATAACTATATTTTCTTATTTTTTTTCCCTCAAGGCTTAATTCATAATAATAATAATAATTAAAAAAAAAAAAGGTCCTTCACGATTGCTCCTTGATTAAGTGAATTTGCAAAGTGGATAAAATTACGCAGATAACCCCAGTTTATGTGCCAGGGTGGTGACTTCACAAACCACAACGGCACAGGGGGCAAGTCCATCTATGGGAAGAAGTTCGATGATGAAAACTTCAATCTCAAACACACAAGACCAGGCCTTCTCTCCATGGCCAATTCTGGCCCAAACACCACTGACTCCCAGTTCTTCCTGACCTGTGATAAGACAGATTGGCTGGATGACAAGCATATGGTGTTTGGGGAGATCACTGAAGGCCTGGATGTCCAGATTGAGGCTCGGGGCAGCAAGGATGGGAAGCCAAAGCAGAAGGCAACCATCGTGGACTGTGGAGAGTACATGTGATGCTTGGCTGGGCTCCCACCTCTGGAAGACAAGGACGATGGAGACGCCTGGCCTCCAGGGCCCTGTTACTGACTGGGTCCTGTGAAGCAGTGGTGTGTGATCCAAGCCCTTCTTTGGGATCAGCTTCTTTAGCTGCAGCTCCTCTGCAGTGCCTAGGCTCTTTCTTTGGATGTGGCTGGGTCTCAAAGCAGTGTGCTGCCAGTTTGTCCTGGGCTGGCTTTAGCCACTGGGTGGTTTCTTTGCTAACAAACAAACAAACAAACAAAAATACTGTTTTTTTTTTTTGTACTGTTGGAAAAAAAATTAAGCAGATAGACTGAAGAAATTCTACATTATTTTATGGTCTTTTGTTGTGGCATCTTCTGATACCTGTTTTCAAAACCAAAGTTCTGTAAAGTATGTCATTAATACCAGAAACTGAATAACTGAATGGAAGAAAATTAAACTGTTGTATGATATATATCCAACTCAGCATAGTCATTTTAACTTAGGCAAACAGATGATATACTTTGAAAACTAATCAGTTATTTTGACTAGAAGGATGACATATCCATAGATATACATACTTTTCTTATATTTCAGTTTCAATTACATTGTTTGTGTTAGGGTCAGAGAAATACTGAAGAAGACCCCAAACTTGAATAGTGTGCAAAAACAAAAGCATTTCTTCCACAGACACAATCAGCATGCCAGGTCAACTATTTGTACAAAATGGTGATTCAGAGATGAATGCAGACTCCTTTTAAGCATAGCTGGGGGAGTTCTAGGAACAGTTAGGTTATCTCAGACATAATTGGTTAAGCAGGCAGCAGTTATATTAATACGTTTTTGATAAGCTGAGGTTTTAGTTTTTGTTTTTATCTTTGTTTATCTTTGGACATACTTCAGTAAGATTTTGCGGGGAGGCGGGGGGCGCGTTGGGGGAGGGCTGCAGGGACTGTCCTCATGTGGTCAATGCTTTGAGATATGGTGCGGCTGACACAAGCATTGTCCCTGATGTCAGATGTGTTGTTGATTAATAGGCCTTTGTCTAAGAAACTGAAACTTAGACCCAGCTTGTAAAACGGAGGAAGTTTAGACCTCTCGGTTTGATGGTTCTATTATTTTATATTTTGTTCTTTTTTATATATGCTGGTTAAGGACTCAGCATTTGTCATACAGCCTTATTATTTTTATTAGTAAATAGTTACTAGTTATCATATGCCATAGTGAATGGGGAAGCTTGTGTTCAGAGGATTACAATATCAACAATAAGAAAGCTGCTCTTAAGCAAGAGGCTATCTCACACATTCTAAATCATGTTTTCTATACCATTTCTATTCTTTAGATTTTCATAGAGCACATCTCCTTGTAGATAACCTTTTACTGACTTTCTGCTTTTTGTATTCTTAAAGGAAAACAGCTTATGAGAATTTTATACATGTGCATATGGGCTTAGCAATTAATTGCACTTGTCACTTTGTAAAAGGATGTGATATCAGTTCCTAATATCTACATGGAGGCTTATCACCCCAGTTTCAGTGGATAAAATGTTTTCTTTCAGCAGAAGCACAAACCCAAATAAATAAAAATAAATGGATTAAAAATAAAGACTCAACTAAAAATTAAAAGCTTGCACACACACTTGAGAGAGAACATGTGTCTTTTGTCTTTCTGGATACAGCTTACCTTCTGAGAAATATTCCTTCCTGTTCATTCATTTACCTGCACAATTTATAATTTCATTAGTCTTTACAGGCGAATAATACCCCAGCACATAAAGACATCACACGTTCATTGTCCATTCATCAATACATGAACATCCAGGCTGCTTAAGGGATGCATTTCAAAATGGAAGGGTTAGAACACAGGTTATTTGATAAATGGGTTTGAGTAATTTGAATGAGGGATGGGAGGGCAGGGTAGAAAAGAGGAGAGTTTAGAGGGATAATAACAATACACAAATTTAAAAATACATGCTTTTAATATATATAAAATGTGGAGTTACACTATAAAAGGGAGAGAATGGAACTTTTAGATACCATAGGTTATCAAATAAAAATCTCAGTGCCAGTAGTTGTTTACATCTTTTACATAGACAAACCCAAACAATTCTTTCTGTCTCAGTTCCTCTTAGTTATATTTTTATCTTGAAATATGTCCCTCCTGCTGAAGATATCACATACCTAGTTCTAAACTATAGAGAATTCAAGTTTATATTGACCTTGTATCTTTGTCCTATGGGCTAGCTTCATAGTGTTAGAAAACACACAATGCCCATGAGCAGGAAAGAGATGTAATCATCATTTTGTTGTTGTTGTTCAAAATTTTTTATTTAATTCTTTTTTCATTTTACATACCAATCCCAGTTTCCCCCTTCCCATTCTCTCCCTTCTCCTCCCCCCATCCCACCCTCCACACACTCTTCAGAGGGAGTAAGGCCTCCCTTGGGTAGTCAACAAACTCTGGCATACCAAGATGAGGCAGGACCTAGCCTCTCTCCCCTGTATCAAGGCTGAGCATGATATCTCACCATAGGGAATGGGTTCCAACAAGCCAGCTCATATACCTGGGTTAAGTCCTGGTCCCACTGCTAGGGGCCCCACAAACAGATCAAGCCACACAACTGTAACCCACATTCAGAGGGCCTAGTTCTATCCCATGCAGGTTCCCCAGCTGTTAATCCAGAGTCCCTGAGCTCCCACTAGCTTGCATCAGCTATCTCTGTGGTTTTCCCCATCATAATCTTGACCCCTTCCCCTTGCTCATATGATCTCTCCTCCCTCTCTTCAACTGAACTACTGGAGCTCATCCCAGTGCTTGGCTGTGGATGACTGCATCTGCTTCCATCAGTTACTGCCTGTAGGTTCTATGATGACAATTAGGGTAATCATCATTTTATATTATCTGTGACCCTTGTCGTCAAAAACTGTTCTGAGAACATATGCCTACTAATACAATAGGGACACAAATGTTACGAGAGTATTAGATTTAAAGTGTGCTCCACAGGAAGAAACTTGTAGCTTGCACAATTAAGTGGGGAAATACTCCATGGCTGGTTGGTTCAGCCACAGGAACTAGAAAAAATCTCATACTATTTATCATTCCGCTAAATGGTCATGATATTAAACTGCCCCTAAAGTTTTTATACCAATTTTTAACTTTCCCTAGAAATGCCTGCTTTTGAAAAGTGTCAATTAACATATAGACCTGCATCTTTTCAGAGTGCACCAAATAAAAGATTTTGGAGCATCCCAAAATGGGAAATCTATAGCCAACTCCCTTTTGTCAAGGCTCCATGATTAATATAAAATGGTGGTGTGGTGTGAGCCAGAACTATTGGATAACTGCAGCAAAATCTTGTTTTTGGAAGCAATAGGTATGTTTAACTATGAAATCACAGCTGTGACTGTATGCAAACAACATGCACAAGATCATGCCAGACAAAATCTCAGGATGGATTGGAGAGCACATCAGAAAGTTCTGTACTTCACTGAGGAGCTATTGGCAACCGATGACTCCTGTGTTTAAAGAGTCAGTGTTTTTCAGGGAAGTAACCCTTTTCCCATGGAAGCCATTGAGTACAAGAAAGAGAATTGAAAATGGAGAAAAAAGAAAAGGAATAGAAAACTATGCCAAACCACAGGTCAAAAAATCATGTAAATGCCATTTTACTTTATTAGTGCTGGATATGTTTGAAAAGAAAAACACAAACAGGGACCTGGAGAAATAGAAAAGTAAGGTCATCTAAAGTTGGAAGACAATAATTATTGAATAGATCTTGTGGAAAATGTGAATCAAACCTGTAATCCTAGAATGACTGGTTCTAAAGCTTCCCTAAAATTATCTAATAAAAAACATCTAATAAAAAATATATATGACACAATACATCATCATATTCAGCAACAGACAATGATTTGATTGGAGAAACATTAAAATGAAGATATGTGAGCTGTATAATAATCAACTTAGAAGGCAGAGTGGGACATTGAAGACAATGTTAAGGATGAAGAAATTATCTCAAGGAAGAAGTCCACCTCTACAAGCTCAGGCTCAAGCTTATTTTTTTTTTAATGACTATAATCCTTGAGTGTGTAGTTGTTTTCATTTTATGAATGGCAGCACTGTCATATATCATATATGTGCCCAATTATCAATCTATCAGGAAAAGAAGCAGGAATAGATATTGTAAGAGCCCCAGGTTTTGTCTGAAAATACAACTTTTCAGTCATCATGTAGCACAGAGGAAGCATAATCTTTTATGATTCTGTTCTCCTACTACTTCATTGCCAGAGATGGGCAACTCCAAAATTCTTTTTTTTTTTTTTTTTTTTTTTTTTTTGATTTTTTGAGACAGGGTTTCTCTGTGTAGCTTTGCACCTTTCCTGGATCTCGCTCTGTATACCAGGCTGGCCTCGAACTCAGAAAGATCCACCTGCCTCTGCCTCCCAAGTGCTGGGATTAAAGGCGTGCGCCACCCCCGCCTGGCTAATATTTCAATTCTTGTTTCTTTTATTTTTTTTTTATTTTTATTAGGGCACACCCAAGAGCTGGCCAGTGACTGCCTCCTAGGTTGGGTTAAACAGAGCAGTTCTGAATCCAACCTTCAGATCCCTTTTAAGAAGAAAATCATGAGTAGTTGCAAAGCAGGTATGCAGAAGAAAGACAAGGGGGCAATAAGAAAATGCAGAAAATTCTCAAAACCATCATGTGGTCACCATGTAATTAGGGAAGTTGATTAGGGACTGTTCAGAGAGGGTAAGGAAGAGTAAGGGTATTCTCAATTAAGTCAAAGTCATGGTTTGGGGAAGGTCATTTTTCAGGCAACAGTCTTAAAAACAGCACTCAGCTCTTATTGTAAATGGAAACTTATTTTTACCAATACGGAACAATGACTCCTGACTTCAATATCCAGTTAGGCAGGTTCGTCGTCACTCTCCCTTTGACTTACATTTTTCTGTCAAATCTTTGATGGGGGATGTGTTAAGAATATTGTTGAGCAGCAATGACTCAAGAATTGC